TCTGCTGCAGCCGTGCAATAAAATACACCCACCAGCCCTGAGAGAACGACAGCACAGAGAAAGAGAGAGAGAGAGAGAGAGAGAGAGAGAGAGGGGGAGAGAGAGAGCGAGCGAGGAGGAGACGGACAACCTGAAGACACAAGAGGTGACATTCGGGGAGGGAGAGAGTGAAAGAGACAGAGACATAGACAAAGAGAGAGGGGAGAGAGAGAGAAAGAGCAAAAGAGAGGGAAAGAGCAGGAGAGCGAGAGACATTGAGAAAGACAAAGAGAGAGAGCGAGAGAGTTGAGGCCTCGGGTCAGGTTGAATTTACATTTAGATGTGTTTACAGTTTGGTTTGGTTTCGTTTGCAGTTTCTAACACGGTTCTTCGTCTCTTTTGACCGGCTGTCGTTTTCTTCGCTTCGTTGGTCGTCTGCGAGTGTCACAATGGTTGGGCTTGCGCCGCCGCTAAGTGTCTTACATCTGACTTAGACTCCTAACTCCACAGTGCGGCTGACTTTGTGGCACGTCTTTGGGTGAATTTTGAACTTTTGAGTGATTTTTTGACCTTTGGGGTCATTTCTTGACCTTTTAGGTCATTTTTTGGTAAGTCTCTGAGCAGGTCTCCAAAGACTTTGGCAAAGTTTTGGTTATTCTGAGGTCATACGTTTCTCTCAGTTTAAATTTGTACTGGTTTTTGGACTTTAGTAGCTGGGCTTAGAAGTGACTGAAGGTATACAGAAGCAGCAAAAGGCTTTTCGAGGTGACTTTTAGTGATTTGGAACCAGGTTTAGGGATTACGAAGTGGCTGAAGGTGCTTAGAAGTGACTCAACGTCTTTAGGTTTCAGTTTTTAATGATTTAGGACTGATTTAGGAGTGATTTTAAGTGTTTACAAGGGATTTTAGTGATTAGAACGTGACAAAATATATTACGGAGTGGTTTAGGGGTGGATTTAGAAGAGACTCTAGTGATTTTAGAAGCAATGTTGGTGATTTAGAGGTCATTTAGAAGTGACTGTGGTGATTAAGAAGTGATTTTAGGTGTTTAGAAGCTGTATGTTGGTACTGTGTAGGTTGTTTTAGAGTAGGACTGTATTAGAGGTGTTACAATGGAGCTGTGGAGGCAGTGTGCGTCGTGGCTGATCCAGTGCAGAGTGCTTCCCGAGAACCACAGAGTGACCTGGGACAGTGCACAGGTGTGTATTAATTTGAATATTTACCATCTTTGTTTGTCACAGTTATCAGATTGCATGGGGATATATATATATATATCTGTGTGTGTGCGCATGTGTGTGTGTACGTATGTATATATATATACAAATATAAATATGTACACATAAATATATACACACACACATATAGTCTATATATATATCGCTGCTGTCAGATAAAAACCTTGTATCTCCAAAATGGTAACTTTACAGGAGAAGAAAAATACATACTTTACTTTTAATGCAAGTCAATGGAACCAAATTTTTGGTCCAAGTAATTTTGGGTCGTTTCTTTACAACGTAAAAGGCAACAGGTGTTTTCAAATTCTGTCAAAAAACTGAAAAATGGTCACTTCCATTCAAAAACGGAGTTAAAAGGTTTTGTTTCCGACAGCAGCAATATATGGGATAGGCTATATATACATATTTTTAGGGTTGCGGGGGGTGCTGGAGCCTATCCCAGCGCTCATTGGGCAGAAGGCACCCTGGACAGGTCACCTGACCAGATTCCGCCAGACACTTATGTCTGGTAAAAAAATACAAATGAAAGTTTTCAGAGTTATTAGTAAACTTTTAGGTTACACTTTACTGTAGGGTGCTGTTCATAGGGCTACATGACACCATCTACATAAGCTTGTCATGGCAACTGACATAACCCTACATAAGTGATTACAAGTGCTTATTCCAACGGACATCATTCACTATAAAGGTTACATTAGCTATTTTTTAGCAAAGTTTGCTAAAGTAGCTTTAATGACAGGTCATGCCTACTTGAATAAGCATTAATAGACACAATAGGTTATGTCAGTTATGACAGGTCTCATGTAGTCTTATGAACAGTACCCTAGAGTAAAGTTCTACCATCTTTTAAGTAAATACAATCCTATAGCGACACCCCCCTGTGCTGTTCTGGGGAAGAATGTTCCCCCTGGAGTACCGCCTTTCCTGGAGGATGGACCTTCACTCAAATTCAAACAGCCTAAACTCTGCTGCCCTGCAGACAGAGACATCGTCACGAATAAAGTCCCTGTTTGGGTTCCACGTCATTTAGCAATGTTACAGTTCCACCACTTCATAGCATAGTACAATAAAAGTCACAGAACGTTAGCCTGTATGCATGTATTTTTCAAACAACTAACAGAGTTGCTCAGAGACATTGTCTATTTCTATTTTTCATTTATGAGTGGAAATGGATTTTTTTATGATCTGACAGTTGATAAAGAAGTTGTTAAGTACATCAAAGTACAGAAATGTAGGCCGACTCTCAGGGTTGCAGTTGGAGTCGGTTTAAAACTGTCTTTAGGAGCCGCTGGAGGTGAAAAGGAGGAAGCTTTTAGGGTACAACCTGAGCACATGACAGAAAAGGTACATATAAGTACCTAACATTTGGTCAAAAATAAGGAAAAACACTTCTTCCTTAAGGCTTGTTTCTGCTAGCACCCCTATGGGATTCTAGTAGCATGTTAGTGCTAAGCTAACATATTACATATGTTTTATCTAAAGCTTGTAACAGACATTATCATATATCTGAGCTTGTATGTATCAGTTTTACAGTGACTCTAAAGCTGCCGCCGCTGTTTTCCATTCCTAACAACTAACCGGAACACTGCTTAGACTACAACTCCTATTCAGACATATCTAGAACTTCCAGAAGGACTAGAGTGATGTTTTTTTTTTTAAATCAAAGCAGGATTGGTTGCTTCCTCTGTCATTTTCTTATCATGTTGGTAGTTCGTCTAGTGTTAGTCCAGATTTTGGAAGCCTAGCCGATGGGAGAGCAGCTTGGCTCACACCACATCGTAAACAATCCTAACTGGACAATTTTCTGTTGGGTGTTTCAAGATTTTAACACTTTTTTTTTTTTTTTAACCAAAACTTGAACAATGAAATAAGAGTAGTAACACAGTAGTTTCAGAGTTTGAACACAACAAGCATAATGACTCTATTACTTATCATTTTTTGATTTCACAGAAATCAGTAGACCTTCTCTGAAGGGGTTCCGCACTGATGTATATATGTGCATATATACAGGTGCAAGAGCCAAGATTAATACTTATGTTATACCAACAAACTACACATCTTTTGATTTTTTTGAGTGCCTCTTGTGAACAATTTCGCCAAAAATGGCACAACAAAAGTGGGATTAACTGCGACAGGTGGCCAGTGGGGGCTAATTGTAACAGTTACTAGAAATGTCTTATGAAAAATACTCACAATAAAATAAACATGATGAATGAAAAGAGGCTGAGATTTATTTCTTTTCCTTTTACTGTATTTATGTTTATTTGCATTTACTGTAATGTTATATAGAGTTAAACTGGCAAAAAAAACACACTCAGTGGTGAGATAAATGGTTTTAAACATTCCGCCTAAACCTTTGCACAGTGCTGAATCTCTCTGTCGTGTGTGTAGGTGTGTGACCTGGCTCATGCTCTGAGAGATGGCGTGCTGTTGTGTCACCTGCTGAATAACCTCCTCCCCCACGCCGTCAACCTGCGGGAGATCAACCTGCGTCCGCAGATGTCTCAGGTAGGAGTCTGATCGCTGACCGGAAGGTGGTGATTTGACAGCGGCAATTTTGGGTTATTATCTTTCAGTGTAATAAAATTCGAGCTGACTTTTAGTCAAAATGAAATTCTCAAGCTATTTTTGAACATAAGCGCAGAGAAAACAAACTATATTGTGAATAAAACTTTGTCTATATTCCATTTACTGTGGAAATAGTTGCTCCAGTTGCATTTGTGTCTTCAGCGTATGACATGATTCTGAATCTGAACATCAAAATGATCAAATCAGTCTGATTTGTGGTGAAATTTGAGGTCAGATTTCATGTTTCATTGAATTGTTTCCTAAAGAACTGTGATCTGATTGAATCTTTGTGGTATTTCAGATTCAATGACTCACTGACGTTTTTAAACAATTGTAACCAAATTGAATTGAAGTCAAACTGTAGTAAAATCTGACATTTAATTATTTAACTAATTTTCCCAAAAATTGCAATTATATTTAATTATAACTATGGAGGCGGCACGGTGGCGCAGTGGGTAGCACAGTCGCCTCACAGCAAGAATGGCCTGGGTTCGATTCCTGGCCGGGTGCTGGGCGGCCAGGGTCATTTCTGTGTGGAGTTTGCCTGTTCTCCCCGTGTCTGCGTGGGTTTCCTCCCACAGTCCAAAAACATGCAGTCAGGCTAATTGGAGATGCTAAATTGCCCCTAGGTGTGAATGTGTATGTCTGTCTGTCTGCCCTGCGATGGACTGGCGACCTGTCCAGGGTGTATCCTGCCTTCTGCCCAATGACAGCTGGGATAGGCTCCAGCGACCCAGAAGGATAAGTGGTTTAGATGATGTGTGTGTGTGTGCACGACTATGTAAGATTTAATGATTCACTGAATCATTTTCTAAAGAATTGCAACCATATTGAAATTTTAGATTCAATAATTGGTTAAATCACTTTCTAAAGTATCATAACTGAACTGATATAATTGTGATGTTTAAGATTTGATGATGTGTTGAATCATTTTCTAAAGAATCATAATTGAATTGAGCTGATTTGTGGTGGCATTTATGATTTATGATTGAATCTTGATTGTTTTCTAAAGAATTGTGATCTAAATGAATTGAATTGTGGTGACATTTGAGATTTAATGATGATTTGCAGAGTCATAATGACGCTGATTCGAACTGTAGTACTATTTGAAACATGATTCATTGAGTTGTCTCCTAAAGAATCACAGTGGAATTGAATGGAATTGTGGTGATATGAGAGATTCTTATGATTCATTCAGTCACCTCTGAAAAATGTTCTTTGAATCGAACTGAATCTTTGTAATATTTGAGATCACATGATGCACCGAATCATTTCTAAGGTCTCACACACTTTTACAGTGTGTTGGATCATTACAGAGTGTTTAATACAGTGAAACTGAACTGTTTGTTTATCGCTTGGAAAGTTTTAAGTTGTTTTTTATTCCTCTGTTTTTGGCATTGAATTTAAGTGTTTTGCACGGTTTAAGTATTTTGTATTCTTCTGCACAAAAAGACATCGGTTTTGCACTGAACACTGTTGTGGTGCTGCTTGAACAACAATTTTAAATTGGCTTTAGCTGCATTAACTGTAACTGTATATCACTTTGTATTAGTTTTATGGCCTTAAAGCAATAAAAAATCAAATTTACCCGAATCCCACCTCACCTACCCCAAACATAGGATCAGCAAAGATCTAAAGTTTGCTTCTTTTGTTTCGAGTAGGCTAATTTATCATAAAAAGCAGTTAGAAAAGCAGTAGCTTTTTAGCAAATAGCATGGTGCTAACTACATGGCTAAAGTACATATATACTCCGTATCTCTAACAGACTTGATTATGTGGTTTCTGACACTGTATAAACACGCTGTTATTTATAAACACGGACTAACATTCGGGCTTAAAAATGGTTGCTACCATTTTAAGCTATGCTAATGTACTTAAGTCCAGTAGTCGACTGCATTTGAGGCAAGGAGGAAAATTAGCTTTTCGCCAAACTACTTCTTTAACACTAAACTCCAAAAGCTTTGGTTATTGGTGGTGCTAACTGCTAACTGCTACTGCCAGCATTGAATGCTGAACTGCAGCTATTTGCACTGCAGATGAAGTTTATTGAGGCCGAAGCTGTTCAGAATGAGTGCTGACAGTTGGTTTAACACTGTAGATATTAGTGCATGTGTTAATGATGAGTTTGCACCATGTGCAGCATTAGCCGGCTCGGTAACCTCTCACTCAATGGCTGCTTCTGTTTCTCCATTTCTCTTTCTCCCTTATTAAGTCGCTCACGTTTTCCTGCTGTGCACAGATCAGCTCCACTGAACCACAACTCATAACTGAGCTTAACGCCAGGCTTAGGTTTATTTAGATAGGCTTCGACGTGATGCATTCATGGTCCACTTCATTGGAAACTCCTACCTTTCCTTTCTGTGATAGCATTTTTTAATTTTTTCTAACTTTTTGATCTCGGTCCTGACGCTTGCTCGCTCAGCACACTTTAGTTTATTTCCTGCGTTAACGTGCCGGCTTCGTCTCACACACATCCACAAAGAAAAGCTCCTTAAAAGAACTCTTGATGAGCCAAAACCACACGACGAGGTAATGCAAGCTTAGCAGCAGTTAGCATGGTGAAAACTGCATGCTTTCCCAGATAGCAGGAGGACAGCAGGCCACTGTTGGCCCAATGATGGCAAAGCTGGCATCCCAATAGCTTTGTGCTCAGCATTTTCCAGACAGCACATTGGTGGTTAAGCAGAGTGTTTGACAAAATGCCACAAAGCAATTCAGTAAATAAATTTAACAGTAATATGATAAATAAAGCCAGTTGTGCAGCTGTAACCAACATAGCCCAACATTTTCAACAAAATCATTTTATATTAGGCCTAGTCTTTATTTTTTGTAGCAGTTATCTTCAGTTCATAGTTTATATTCCAAAATAAAAGACTGTGTGTGTTTAACCTTTTCAACTCTTTGGGACCACCGGTGGTTCCAAAACACACTTCGTCATATTCTTCATAACCATCAGATTTCATAAGCTACATTCAAAAGGTGGGTGTCGTGTGAGAGCTGTAACTGTCTTCTTTCCAGTCAAATAGATGGGTGATGTAATTTTAAACCCCTATAATAAAAGAAGCTGAGCTCACAGTCCCCAAGTACCCATTTTTCCACAAATCTGGGCTGTAAACTATAAACAGATGGCGTCTCTTCAGTGATCTGCTATGTAAAAATGACTTTCATAAAATAATACAAAGAGCGTCTAAGTTTTTGGCTTTCAGCAGTAAATTGTAAGCATATAGCAATATGTGTATCATAAAACACATGTTCTGTTAATTTGAGGGGAACTTTTACAAAGTAAATAAATAAATAAATAAAAATTTATATTTATTTCATGCAGTTATTGAATAATTTGCCTTACGATTTGGGCATGTAAATTCAGATGGACAAACCCAAATACACCCTGGAGAATAAGAGGTTAAAATTTGTTTGAGGAGATTAAAAACTAGTTAGACCTTGTATGTAGGACAGTGATCTGGCTGGCGGCATACAGGGTTGGCGGGGTGCCGACCTTATCAAGCCAGCAGACCGATATTTGTTTGCTAAGTCATCACATAATTGCCTGAAAGCGTGTGGAGTTGTTACCTCTAGTAGACTTGATTATGTGGTTTCTGACACTGTGATATACTGCTGTCTGTAAACATGGACTACAGTACGTTAGCATATCCAAAAACAGTAGCAGCCTGAATTTCGCCTGTACTTAACAGTGTGTCAGAAACCACAGAAAGTCTATTAGAGATAACTCTACATCACTGTGTGATGATTTAAGAATGCAGTTAGCACCATGCTAATTGCTAATAAGCTACTATTACTTTTTTTACTTTTTGAGATTTCATGTTTCATTGAATCGTTTCCTAAAGAACTGTGATCTAATTGAATCTTAGTGGTATTTCAGATTCAATTTTTATTTGCAATCAAATTGAATTGAACCGACTGTAGTAAACTTTGACATTTAATTATTTGTTAACTCATTTTCCAAAAAATTGCAATAAAAAATTAATTATGACTATGTAAGATTTAATGATTCATTGAAACATTTTGTAAAGAATAATTGTCTATTTGAATTATGAATGTTTGTGAGATTTAATGATTCGCAGAATAATTTTTTAAAGAATTGCAATCATATTGAATTGCAGTGAAATTTTAAATTCAATAATTGGTTAAATCACTTTCTTAAGTATCAAAACTGAACTTATATAATTGTGATGTTTGAGGTTTAATGATGTGTTAAATCATTTTCTAAAGAATCCTAATTGAGCTGATTTGTGGTGGCATTTACGATTTAATGATTTGATTGAATCTTGATCATTTTCTAAAGAATTCTGATCTAATTGAATTGAGTTTTGGTGACATTTGAGATTTAATGATTATTTGCAGAGTCATAATGATGTTGATTCGAATTGTAGTACTATTTGAAACATAATGATTCATTGAGTTGTTTCCTAAAGAATAATAAGCTACTATTACTTGTTAGCTGCATTAGCCTCGTGGTTCCAGTGCAGAAACTAAAGAAGCAAACTTCCAAACCAAATGTGTCTTTGCTGATTGACTACATTCCTTAGAGCTCAGCAGAAATCAGACTAAACAACGGCCAAATTCCCAACAATTTGCTGTCTCACGACATCAGAGGTCTATATGCATAATCTTAGTAAGCTTGCTAGCTAACTAACTGGCTAACATCAGTATTTCTAAGAATAGCTGGTTAATTAGGTAGCTGATTTGTTAACTAGCAAGCTTGCTGGCTGACTAACCAGCTCAGCAATATTTCCAGGATTAGGTTGCTACCTAGCTGTTTAAGGTCTGAACACTGTTTAAAGAATCTCACTAAGGTTTCTTCACCCAAATCTGGGAAGGCAAAGAATTAATTTTGTGGCTTTAATGCTAAGCTAATAGTAGCAGCGTTTGAAGCCTGAATTTTGTCTGAGCTTTGTTTCTTAACAGGGTGTCAGGAACCA